ATACTATATTATTTTCTAAACCATAATTTACGTATGACTTAAATTATCAAACATGTCAATTAATAAATAACTATTGCGCCAGTTATATCATATAAGCAAATATTATAAATTTGAGGAGCTTATTGTAAATGCGTTGAGATTCTTTATACCGATAAATTTATTTTTATAGCAAAAAAGTTATTTGATCATCGGTCCACTATTCGGTCCTATTCGGTCCTATTCGGTCCTGGACCGCAGTCCGGTCCGATTTTTTAAAAGATTGGCACCAGGATGGACCGGACGGACCGATTAACAGCCTTAGGTCGCAGGGTATAAATCAGTTATACCCTGGGCACTATGTGTATAAGCGGAAATAAAATTTCCGCTTATACCCAACTGTCCAGGATATAATTATTACTTAAAAAAATAGTGATTGTAAACCATATCGTGCTGGAATAAATATTAAATAAGAATATACGATATTGTGCAGCCTTTTTTTTAATTGACATAATAATCGTTAACGCGTTAACGATATATCGATTATTATACAAAATATGATTCCAAAGTGACTTATGTCAATTCAAGATTAACATGAATGCCAAATCGACGTATAATAATAGCTATCATAGTAACAAATTTTGTACGAATGCTCGAGTTTTCCGAATAACAACACTGACTATGATCCTCGAAACAATAAGCAACATTCGTATTACTTGAGTTTATAATTTAGTTCTACAAGCTGTATTTAATAAATAATAAATATACACTTAGCGCCGTGTAACAACCATTGGGATTTGAGCATCGTGAAATTCGATAATTTCCTCTTTATAACCTTTCTCCCCATTATTTTTTCTTCTCACCATCAAAAGGATGAAATTTTATGATATCATAGCTCCTTTCTAAGCGTTTTCTCCCCTTCTTTGCTCTTATACAGCTTTCATCCTTATTTCACTTCATTCATTCATATATAATTTATCCTTCCTTTATATCCTTTATAATTAGAATGAAGTTAATTCATATTTTCTGTATTTTTTTATTAACTTTTTCGTACTGGTCATTGGCTCAAGGTTATGAAAGTTCACCTGAGGAAACAACAGATGTTAACAGTAATGATACAAATAATATACCAACAGGCGATGAATCAGATAATGGGCCATTATATAAAGTAGAATTGACTTATCGCATAGAATGTAAAATACCGGGGATATATGTAAAACATAACTTTCATATGAAAAATCGCTTAGTATAGTACCCTGGGTATTTTACAAATTTTGTCTGTGGATTGCAGGCACTGTCAGCGCTGTACGGTACATTTAAATCACCGAAAGTCTTTTTAACTAACTTTTTTTTCAAAATATTCAATAGGATATGATTCACTTTCAGTATATCCAGGAACTCAGACTCCTTTCACAAATATGTATAATCAAGGTCTAATTCCTCAACAAATATTTTCAGTACAATTGCGTCCTGCACGAAACAAAACTACTTATGGTGGAATATTCATATTTGGCGGCATTGATTCTCGTTTGTATCAGGGTCCTATAACATATACGCCTGTAACTTATAAATTCTTTTGGCAAATTGGAATCGATGCCGTAGAATATAATGGAAAGAGTGTTACTAAAAGTTCAAATAGTCAGAAACAACAAGCTATAGTTGATACTGCAAGTGCATTACTTATTTTAGGAACAAGTGTAGTGAAAACACTGCACCAAAAGATAAAAGGAAAATATGATTCTTTCTTCAAATACATGGCAAGTTCCTTGTAATTTGAAAAATAATGTAGAAGTGTCAATTAAGATTAATGGTGTCTCACTTCCGATTAATTGTAAGTTTACCAAGAAACTTATGCATTGATTTTTCTGATTATTTTAACTCATTTCATCTTTTTTTAAATAATAGATAAAGATCTTGTGAGAGAAAGTGTAAGTTCTGGAAGTCGCTGGTGTTATTCTGGAATAGGTTCTACTGATAGCTCGGTGTGTATTTTATTCCAGCATTTCTAAGCATATTTTTATCTGATCTTTCAATGCTTACATTAAATTTTTTCTCAAAATAGATCTGGATTCTTGGTGGTACTTTTATGAAAAATTATTATGTAAGTATTTGCTGTATTTCTTAATAATTGATTTTAATATGTTCATTGCTAATTTCTTGCATGTTTTAAAGGTGATATTTGATCTCGAACAAGATCAAGTTGGATTCGCTACACCTGTTTATAATTACTAATTAGATAATTTAAATTTGTGATAAAGTTATTAAAATAAATTATTTAGACAAATACAGTATTTAGACAATTAAGTGTTTAAATATATTTTGACATAACATTACATTTTGTCAAAATGTCAAAATCCCAAATTTGATTAAATATCTAAATTTTAGACTAAATAAATACTATATGACTAAATATCTAAATCTATATATATTTAATTAAGTATTAAAATTTTATAATTATACTTGTGTTTAAACTAAAGATTTAATACAAACAAAATTATAAGAAATAAATAGTTCAAACAGGATGTAACAACTTAGTAAAGTGGTAATATTTTACTTTTCTAAGCAGTATGCCCAGAATTTAGGGTCCGGAATAGGCCGGGCCAACCCCGGAAATTTATGGGCTGGGCCAGGTTCGGGCTTTGCTTGGGTTCCTATTTTTAGGCCCAATATCTTTATGGGCCGGGCTTGGGCTAGGCCCACTAAACACTGGGCCGGGCTTGGCTTTTTTAACAAGCCCGGTATTGCCCAATAATGCCCGGTAAACCCTTATGCCATGCAGTGACAATATTAATCGATAATGATCAGATAATCAATGTGGCAGATTAAAATGAAATCAGATTAAAATGAAATAAGAGATAGTGTAAAATAGACAAGCCACCGAAAAATACAAATTTTTGGGGTGCATTTTTTAGGGTTAAGACTAGAGTTTAGAAGCAGGTTTTATAATAAACAAGTATAAGTGGGTTTTAGGGGTCAAATAGAAACCCTTCATTTCATTTTAATCCGATTTCATTATGATCTGTGACAATCAATATCAATATAATTTTAATTAAATATGATATTTTTGAAGTATATTTACTGAAAAATAGTTGAAAAAAACTTTAAAAGGGTTGTCAATTCAAACAGTTGTTAAAACCTAAGTGTTAGCAGATCGAGTTCTCAAAGATATGGATGTGTTGAAAGATTTTCACACTTGTAAGAAAACTATATCTACTAAACCTGAATAATATAAAGTATCTTAAGATTTTATTTATGTGAGTTTTAATTTACAATGCCCAACAAAAGTTTTCCTGCATCTCTAGTTTTTAATAGATAACATGAAATTTCATTTATGTATAGTATATTGCATATGCAGATTGTACTAACATTCTTCGGGCAAGATTAATAGTAAAAATACCTGTTTCAATCATGCACAAAATTTTAGCCAAAAAATACTTCTCATTTTGCATAAACAATATGAAATTATTTTATAAGCACCTATCCAAAAGACCCAAGCTTTCAATTTGTGAAACAGCAAAGCAAGTTTACTGTAATAAAAGTTCTGTATATTATTGGATAAAAAGGTGGCAAGTAACCAAGAATCTAAATGACAAACCAAAGTTGGGTTATAAAAAGATCACCATTCAAAGACAAAACAAATAAATTTTTGAACTAGAAAAAGAAATAAAAATATTATAGCCTTAGAAATCATTTGTGAACTGATGAAACAGAACATTGATATTCATATGCATACTATTCAATAGTATCTTCATAAAGATAGAAGCTGCCTGCTTAGTGTTCCACAAAATCAAATTAAATTTTGAATTTGAACCAAATGTTTGAAATTATTTGACCAAATCAATTAAAAATTTGATCAAATAATTTCAAATATTTGATTCAAATTCAAAATTTGATTTGATCTTGCGGAGTACTAGAAGCTGCTATTATAGAAAATTCTCAAAGCCTTTGCTTGAGAAGAAGCATTAAAAAAATGTCTTTCATAGATGAAGAAGTATAAGGATTTCAACTAGAATTCTGTGATATTTACTGACAAAAGTATTATTTGCTTGAATTAACTACTAAAAAAGATGTAGCAGTTCTTTGAAAAAAGAAAATTAACCTATTCTGTCAAGTATTGAATAAAGATTTACATATAGAGCTATTTTTTTTCTTCGGGCTTTGGCAGGTTAGTCTGCTTTATATATAATCTTAATATACAATATATGACCACCTTATATGAAATAGGCTTTTTGTTTTCTGTTGTAAACCTTTTTAACAAATATTATGATAGATAGATCTTGCAAAAAGATAATGATCTGAAGCATTATTTGAAAATCACAAAGGCTTAGAAGAAAGAAAATAATATCTAAATTCTTCTCTGGCTATTAATATTACTTGACCAAAATCTAATTGACAACATCAGAAGACTGATAAAAATAAACCTGGTAAAAAAAATTAAAATCTTTAGTTGTTTGAAAAGCAAAATAACAAAGGAATAGAATAGTTTATATAAAAAATAAATGAAAAATTTAGTTAGGAGTATGTAGGGTCATGTGGAAGCCCTAATTAAAGCTGAGAGTGATTATAAATATATTGATTTTTCTTGTAATGCAATATATTTTTAAATAAAAAATTTTTTAATTTATCTCACCTCTGTGCCAAGTTAGAAATATGAAGAAACTTTTGTCAGATACTATACAAATCGATTTAGTAATTAATTTAAAATTATGTATATACTATACATATCTGGCGTTAAACTATTAAACTATAATAAATATTATACTAATTATAGCTTATCGAATTGGCCAAATAATCCTTTGATTAATTTTATCAGATATATTAAAATTAATAAAAATAGCTATAATAAAAAATCAATACTAAGCCTTAAAAAAAATTTTAACCCTGATCTTGATTGATAATATATTTAAACTATCTTCTCTATATACTAATTTATTTCTTTTTTTATTTAAATAAGCCAATCAAATCATAAGATCTGTGTTTATGAATTTTTTTTATCTTTTATTTCTAGTTTTGTATAATAATATTTTGTTTTTTTTCAGTTTTAAGGTGAGATCATGTCTCATATCTTTATTAGATATTTGTTGAGTATTTGTTTTATATAGCTATATATTTATTATTAAGAATACAGACTTAGATAAATTTATTTATGAAAGTATGCTATATTTCTACTACATATTGGGTTATACCAGGATTTGGTGTTCAGACTATTTCTAGCAACCCACTGTATTTATCCTATGTTTCACCATCAAACTTTAATTATTTCCAAATTGGTTCTTTTGGAGAATTGGTCTCTAATAACCTTCTAATTTGATGTATCTGTTATTAAAATTTCTAGTATTGCTATACAGGTAGTCTCTTGTATACATTTCTCAAGCTAGATATCTGCTACTATACTAGTCCTATATGAAAAGAATTAGTATTATATATTGGACTAGAGAACTTATCTAGTGTTTGTACTACCTAGTTCATATAGTACCTCTATTAAAGTAGCTATATTATATTAAATCTGCCAGCTTGCATCTCTTCATATAGCATGAATACCACCAGCCTTTCTATTTACTTTTCCAGATATACTAACCTCATATCTCAAACCAGGCTCTGCTACTGCTACCAGTTTGCTATTCCAGTTTTTAACATTTTTTAGTTATCTAGTACAATGTATATTATTACCTCTTATATACTCTTTTATATAGTATATTGTCAGAATCTTGATAATAAGGCCCTCTTGAGTTGCATAGCAACTATATACTATATACTCCTAGTCATTTATGTTGGTGCATCATAATATTTTTGTTATAGACTTTTATATAGATGTGATCAGAACTCTGAATTGATATTTTTAGATATATAGGAATAGATTACTTTTCTCTATACTGAGTAGCCTTCTATAGTTATTCTACTAGTATCAGAGGTACTTCTTATTTCAGTTAAGGTATAATCCTTTATTACAGACCATAGTCATATATTACTGCCTCTCTTACTACTCTAGTTTTAGTAGTATTGTATCACCCTTTCAAACAAGTATCTACCACTATTCTATATTAGAACTTATATACATGATTTATTAATTATTCTTTCAAGCAAGTATCTCACAAGTTGAGTGCAAGGATATTGGTATTGCTAAATATAAAAGTGATAGGATGTTAGTATTGTCTCTGAGTTACTCTAACCAAAGAACTTATATATACAATCTTCTATAGCTTAGACTTCCTGTAATACTACTATCATATGTAGTACCTATATATTATAATTTGGTCTCTTTTCAGAAACTCCTTATTCTGGTCTTGTACTGCACTTGAACTTTCTACAGAGCTTCACATCTGATTTTATATGACCTTGTAGATTACAAAAACAAATTTTATTAAAATTTGCCTTCAGCCCAACTCAAATTGTTGATTTTGTCTGTGAGGTTTGGGAGGTTAACTATATAACAAAAATGTCTTGTAGCTACTTTATTGAACAAATAAATATCCAGAATTTTTTTTTGACTGAATTAGACTATTCTTCTCAATATAATTAGCTAGTGATTGAGATGATACTCAAATACTACAATCAATTAAAATAAGGATTGAGATTGTGCTTGTGCTTTTTTTCTGATTTTTATTATAGTTTCAAGAAAAAAAGATGATTACTTAGTTATCTAAATATTTAGCACCCAAGAATTGGTATTTAAAAATTGCTTTTAGTTATCCTTTTAACAATTTTACAATGACTTATTATTGTAACAACAGCTATATTTGGCTACAAGTCATTACAATAATCATATTTTGCAACTAGAGATGTAGCCAAACTATTTGGAATAACCCAAATTATATGACAATTAGTATCATATTGTTTTGAACAATAAGTATACCATATTCTTCCAAAAATAAGCTACTCTTTTTTGACAAAAAAATTATACAAAAATCATAGGGTAGCTTATTTTCAGGTAAAATTTAATTTTTATTAATTTTTTATTATTTAAAAGTAGTTTCTATATAGAAAAGTCAAAATTTTACTAATTAAATCGATATTCATTACTTAATACGGGTTGTTCAGGAGATAAAAATACACATATTTTAAAAGTTTTATGCAAATTGGAAAACTTTTTATTAATACATTTTTGTATTTTATATTCAAACATAAAATGCAAAAATGTATTAATAGAAAGTTCTCCGATTTGCATAAAACTTTCAGAATATGTGTATTTTTATCTCCTGAACAACCTATATTAAGTAATAAATATCGATTTA